CGGTTTATCAATCTATTTTAACTTCTTCTTTTTCTTTTTTAGCTTTTGTCCCGCTCTAGTGCAGAGTCTGCTTTTTCTGATTCGTTGGTATCCTTTTGCTCGATCATGCGCTTGATCGGGATATACGCCAGCAGCTTTGATATCATTGTGAAGCGTATCAAACTCTGATGCTGATGGGCCGCAATTTTTTGTACGATATGACATTGGTCATCCAAAGCTGGCCTCTGTCCCGGAAAGGCTTATCGTCAGACAGGAACACAACCGGTCAGTAAAGTATAGAAATAAACTGCAATGTCTAAATTATAGACGCAAAGCCGTTTATGGTGTTGATAGCTTTCCTTGTTTGACGATATTCCAATAATATATTAACCAAGCGTATATTCTCATGCCGAATTACTGTAACCAACAAAACTCCTCTATTAATTGTAACCCTTTTCTGATCTATTAAAAAAGATTGCACATTATGGGAATATTGTAGGCCACTCCCTTTATAAATGGGAAAGTCAAGCACTTGGGTGTAATTCCGTCATTACCGTTCTTCGATTGACCCTCGAAATTCTCCAAGTATTTCTACGGATTTCTAAACCAATCAAACTGTATTACTTGCTGATACGTGTTTATTATTTGAAAAAGGAAAAATATTCTGAACTCAGTAAGCTTTCTACACAACCATACTTTATTGCTAACCAGTAAAATAACGAATACTTCTCCATCAGAACGCAATTTTCTCGACAAAGGTACCACTTGCAATTAGTTTAATATAATGGGAAACATTGAAATCTACGTTCTTCTCTGGATTTGCTCTCTTCAGCGAAATCTTCCCGAGTTGTACACTCTTCAGGACATAGAAAGTGAAGGAATTCTTGCAATTCAAGTTCATGTAAAATAAATGTTACAGAGGTTTCAAGTTCCCCCCATACAGTTTAAATTAAGGTTGTTCCAATACTGGTTATTGGAAATGAGAGCCAGAATCAGAAGTTTACGTTGTTACAGATCCGATATCCTTCTACCCATTCTGATGTGAAATTAACTACGGTACAATTACATAACATTTTAAACGTAGGGGTCTGAAGAAAGAGGATATCGGAGAAATCATTTCACACGATGCCGGGAAATAATTCAGTGAATTAGATTGAGTTATTCTTTGTCTTACGCTTCCTCCACAAACGTTTACATCTTTTGATTTCTTTAAATACACTTTACAGAACACTCTTACGCTGCGCATTCTTAATAATAATCCATTTGTTTAGTTTATTTAATTCAATTGTTTAAGTTTAACACGAATGCAGAATGAAGACACTCATTTATTAAATTAAAAAGAGAAAGTCTCAAAATAGTTTAATGAAACATTGACAAATTTTGAAGTAATGAATTGATTATTTGTCATGAAAATCAATAAATCATTTGTTCGCCATCATTTACGCATAAATCATCACTTCATATCCTTCATTTTTCATAATATTTTTCTTCCTCGAATATCTCTATATTAAAAAGATTTTTTTTCCGTAGGGTACAGTGTTAACATTCATGCAATTATCCCGAATATGCAGTCCTGTCCGATCAATGCATGCAATACAGGCATATCAGTATGCATGTTGTCCAGTTCAAAATATTGCGAATGTTATGTCAACAAACGGTAAACATTTATAAAATGGAATCAAATATATTATCAATAAATGGTATGAAAAGAAAAGAAAGGGCGAGTGGTAAAGATAGAAACTAATTCCAAAAGAATATTTTGATGAAAAGAAACATGTATAATGGGGTAACTGTTTTCATCCAAATCTCAATGGACGTGGTCCCAGTGCTCGCTTCCATGATCTGAAATGAAGCATTTTTTTTAAATCGAACTTTTTTCCATTCTGCCTTGCTAATTTCAACTGTTAATTATCTCACTGTAATCAACTAAGTAAAGTAAAGGAAGGAGAGTCTATAACTGATCGATTGAAGTCTTCCCCATTTCCCGGCAAATAAAACTTTAATTAGCTTTATTAGATTTTGCATTTAATAATCACCTAGTTCTAGTGCCTTTTAAAGTTCTTCCATCTTGTCACGTTCAATGTGAATGTTGTTGAGGAAAAGGAAGTCTATCGTCCTCCAAAACCAGTGGAATCCTAAGATTAGAAATTTCAATTTAATGTGTCAATCAGTTTGAGAGAAATTATCCTGCAATTTGTTCTATTTAGCTATGAATTATTAGTTTTTGAAGATCAAAAATGAACTAGTACCTTTCATCTGCATATGATGATAAAATGTTGACATCCGGTGATCTTAACGAATTCATATATGGATTCACTGGAAATTAAAGTAGTATATGAAACACATGGTCACGAATCATAATGAGTTAATAGTTTAACTTACTTGACTTGGATAGAGTATTATTATGTGTATCGTATCACCGTTGGGGTGTTTTACATTACCGCGTATTCAAATGTGGCATTAACCAGTGATTCTTCTTGTGATTATAATCTGCTACATTGTGGTTATTTCTTTGATTAATGCGCGTTACTGATTTAATTTTCTATTTCCAAACTTTCAAGTAAGCCATTTAACTATGACTTTGTGCAGACTATATCAGACGTCCAATTTAGGCTTTACAAATACCGTACCAATAGAAAGAAGGATGGGTGTGCATTTTTATTTTAAAATATTCATAAGCTCTTCATGTCTATTTTAATAAAATTATTGTATTAAAGAAGTGATAGAAATCAAAAATAGTTATAAGTACCTAATAATCATTTAGAGAAATTTTCAATGTTAGCTACTACTTAAGCAAAGATGAAGTAAGATGAAAATGTTGGGAAAAAAGGTTCTAGATTTTTCCAACTTTCTTTTTTGCATTGTTTGTTTTTTCTGCAGGAAGGAGTTGCAAAATATCCCGTTATAGGTATATCATTTATATTTCACACTTTGGTATACAAAATTGAAATGATACCAGAATTAGTAATTCAATCTACATCTGATCAGTTTGAAATTGTTGAATTGAAGAACATTCATTATCAAAATGATATTAGCAAAAAAAGCAAAAAGAAAAAAAGCCAGTGTTACCACCAATCCAAGTCCTATCTTCCTTCATTAATTTCATTTCTCTTCTCTCCTTTACAATTCCGAACTGCATGATGTTCTCTGCTTGCATGCTTTTCATATTTTAATGTTATAAATGATTCTTAATATGGAAAGAATATATGTTAAGAAGTTGTAAGAGAATATCGGACAGTATGAAGTGATTATTTAAAATCTATCAAAATTTATTAGTTTTTAAATATGAATTGTTATGGTGAATTGTCAAAATAATTAGTGAGTATGAACTATAAAACTTACTGAATTCATAGAAAAGATCGTTAGGAGGTGCTACTTGTGCGAAATAGTGTTGCTGGAATAGCGCGATAAGTAGAATGCTGAACACTGTCAGATTCATCACCGGAAATTTTCAGCACTGAGAAAGTAATAACGCAGATTGGGGCACAAAGTTGCTCAATAAAAGAGAAAACGTTACGAGCTTTGGACGATAAAATTTCGAAATCTCCTATAAATATGAGTTAAATATTGCCAAATTTGTCACCTTAGCAAAACTTTAGATCGCAAATTACTCATGAAATTGTTTTATACGCACATAAATATTTACCCGAGGAAGGAGGAAGGATCATTTATAAATTTTGTGTTAAGCTTGACGCTGTTGAATGAATCTCACTATGAAATGCTGACAACATTTTCTCATCATCCATCTCTTCCCAATGTTGACACAGTTTTATGCATACAGGCTTAAGTGGCACTTGGACGATTCCCTCAAATCCAAACAGTTGATGGGTCAGTGGCTTCAGATGCTTGACCAACTTCAGCAGAAACGTTTGATTTACCCATAGTTTTCAAATAATATATCTTGGTATGTTCCGAAATAAAAAAAAAAAACATTATATGAATTAAACCAGATTTCACACAGCTAAAAAGAATGACGATTTTAGTTCAATTTAGGTCTTTCAGGTCTTAATTATTGTTGAAAATTTGGAAATCAATAAACAAAAAAAGTAAAATTCTCAAAATTTCCAATACTATCCTGTTCTAAATCAATAAAGATCAATGCTAAAAGGCGAAAAATGAAAAAATAAGTAAATTAAAACAGCTCATATTTATGCAATGTGAATAATTAAGGGGAGAAGAAAAGTTCAGAGTTCTAAAAATGCGCAAAGTTTGTACTTAAAAGCTGAAGTGTGAAGTGTAAGATGATGTTGTACTTCAACAGCACTACCTCAATATGTGCAAGATGGGTATTGCGCGACTTATATATGTCCTCCACTCCAGTCCAGCACTTCAGTATTTTAATCATGGGAACGTTGTGATTGCGAATTTTTGTAAAATCTAGGTTATAAAAACTTTAAGGCACTTAGAGAGGTGAATATAAGTAAGGTTTTTTAGAGATTCAAATCTCGGAAGCAATTTTTGAAAACTCCTGGGGATTGGGAGACGACGAGAATGATAAGAAAAAGTGAAAGAAGTGTGCAAACGACATGCACTCCCCGTTGTCTACATTTTTTCAATTTAAACTTATAGAATTACCATTTCGTTTTCAATTAATTTGAAATAGTGGGATATCAATTTTGCAGTGAACCGATTTGAAATTTCCAATCCAATGGGATATAGTTATCTAGAGAAACAATTAACGACTCTTCCTATTCTTCTCCCAGAGTCCTTTCATTCCTTCTTTATTCCAAATTGGATATTCATTCAATTCTTTCCCATTCTTCTTATTTATAAATTTGGAAATAATAATACGAACGACTTCAATTTTGACGCATATTCCAACAATAAATCCCTTTAATTGTATTTAGAATAGAAATTAAATTTTATTTGGTGGAATTTCTTCTACACATCTCTAGATAGTATTCAGTAAAATGACCTGTAATTTTCTATCTCAGAGCATCAGATTCTCTTCGCCAGCCGTTCGCATGTTGATTCAAATCCTAAAGTTCCCAACCTTACTTGAACAGTCATATGTGTTGATCAGATTGTGATTAGAAAATATCACTGGGTACCAATGAATTCCCTCAAACTTTGTCAATATGGTTATCTGAAACCCCTTGACATACCTAAATTCGATAAATATGTGGTTTGATCAAAATATAATTAAGGTCTGAACGAAATCAAAAAATAGTAGTTCATAACTGAAACGAAACAGTAACATCTTTGAACAGCTTATGTCTTCCTAGGGAATTCGAAAATATGTAGTTTCTTCTCTACTTCTCCAACTTCTCGACTCGATTCCGACTTACTTTTCCGAAGTGTTAGAACTTTAACGCCTCAACTTTTCTAGAAAGATTTTCTTGTTTCCAAAACTTAGCTCGAATTTCTTTTGGTATGATCACATAGCATAAATTAGGCGAAATGATGGATAAAACTTCAAGTTGTGGCCTATCAAAACATTTGGACTTGACGAATAAACGAAAGTTTCAAGACAAAAAACTTAAAACAGCTCACTGTCCGACTGATCCAAAACAAGAAATAAATGCTAAACTAATATTTACGGAATCAAATTAAGCCTTTATATGTATATGAAATCATTATATTTTATGGTTTATATTTTATAGATTCTCTTTTGAAGTTTACTTAAGAATTCCTGATAATCAGTTGTCATCAACAATCATATATGATAGTTTGACAATTCACGCATGAGCTGCCCAAACAAGAATAAAGCTATGAAATGACCCTGCTGTTGGACGATCGAATCCTTTACAAACTTATTTTTTAAAGAAATATTCCCTTCGATTAATCATCATTTTAAGTACCTTCCACAGATTTTCCGAATGTTAATTCTTTTAAAAGATTTTTATCATTTTAACAACAAATTGCATTTGTTTGCATTTCTTAAAAGTAAAAAGATCTTAAAAGTAAAGAGTAAAAAGTACATTTATGAAATTCTTCCAGAACATTCAGTGTTTGTGATGGAATCGAATGATTAATAAACAACATTTATGAATGCTATCATTGCGCATGAAATGAAGAGAACAGAAAATATTGAGAATGAAAAAAGATGAATAATGATAGAAGATTCTATGATACTTCTTTTGGGATTACAAAGTTAGAAACTGACAAAAAACTCTTAAATCTATAATGCATTTAAATTGGACTCATAAAGCCCATTTATCGACGTCGTACTATACACCGACGATATGTCTGCCAACACTAATATCCAACAACTTGCAGGCCTTCCTACTCCTTCTCCTGAAATAAGAAGCGTTGTAAAGCATCATTTTCAATTTGTTCTCAGATATTTGAAAATAGATCAATCTCTTCATTGGGAGAACAGAGAAAGTTATCCAAAATGGCCTTCAATGTGTTGAGCTTTTATTGGAAAGTTGAGTTTATGAAGAGAGAAGCGAAAGCCTTAAATTTCCTTGGCTCTTACTGGTTTTGAGAGGAAAGCCTAGCATAATCCTGCAATATTTTACTTTGCGAACAGAAAGTCCTTTCAAATTGCTACAAAGTCTCAACGAAAAAAGAAAATTGACAATTTACTTGCAAAATAAAACAGGTTATTTTTAATATATTTTGTTCTGTGATATTTCGCAGAAAAAAAAACAAAACTTCCATCTTTCATTTGAAGTGGAAGTTGGGCAAGACACGATGAGAGGAAACAGTGCTTAGCGGTGAACGAAATCGTTGTTTTAACTTGAAGCGGAATTATTCCCTTTTTTGGGCTATCAGTCAAGCCTTCCTTTATGTTAGTAAACTCTTCCAGGACAAGTGAATAAATAAATGAATCAAAATAGACCAGGAAAGACAAGGCAACTGTTCTTATTTGTTCTTATTTGCACTGATATCTAAGATATGATTATTTCACACAAATTCAATTTTAAAAGTCATCGGGCGCAATCATTATCAATGGTTATTGTAAAAATAGAAAAGAAATGAGAAAATGCTGTTGGTGATGTATTCAATTCCATTTAATAAGGAAGAGAAGTGAGAAGCTAATTTGGACAGAAAAATATGAAGCAGAAGTAGGCGAGAGCAGGACTAGCTTATTATTTTTACTACTTATCAAGTATTGTGGAGGGTAATTATTTTTGATGGTTATGCATTTATCATTTCATGGTTTTGGCAGAGGGATGAATTTAATACATCAAGGAAGAAGGAAGGACGAAAAGAATAAGGTATTTCAAAAATTATTTCATCACCAAAAAAAGGTTCTTCTCTGTGAATAATGAGAGAATACTACTTTTTCTGACCTTAAAATTTTAGGATGTGCGGGAAATTCCATTTATAGAATTGGAAACTTTTTTCAAATCAGATTGCACAACTCCAATGAATTTTGGGGGAAGAATCAGCAGTAACTGATTGACATTAAGCAAAGATAATTAGCTAGACTGAAGTTAATTAGTTGATAGTTTCAGCATGATTCAGCCGAAGTTGTAGTATCAACTACTACTGAAACTGAATTAACATGGATGAAACAATTCCTCCAAAAGCTTTAATGAGAAATTATGATATCGGGAAGGAAGACGATGTTTTGCAATCCAATCTACGAACTGCAATTTACGAACCTTACTAATGATAACTGTTGCAAAAATTGAAGATGTGGTAAGAAGCAGAAGAAATTTTTATAAACAATATGTTCAAAGATCATTGAGGAAGGAACAACTCAGTTCAATAATCTCAATAATTATGAAAAATAAGTCTATTTTATTTCAGTTCGGCAAAAATATATCCAAAAAAAAAGAAAAAGAAAAAAGAAGAAAACTGGTAATGCATATGGAAAAAAACCTTGAAAGCAGCACTGTTTTCACATAAAACTCTGTTATGCAATTGAATAAAATTACCAATGCTTCGGTTCCCATAATTACCCTTTCCTCCAGGAATACCATTATGGTTGTGGAATTACGATTATTATGCTCTCACTTCATGAAATTAACTGTTGCCTTCTAAAAGGTTTGCCCCCAAATGCACGTCATTCAAATATCCCGCTTTCAGGAAGAGAAACAAATCTGCCATGCTTACAGCCCGAAATGACTTTTCAATAGTTGTGGTGAAAAAAAAAAGTTCATTTCATGCATTTCGAAATGTTTGGTAGAAAGTAATGGCCAAAAGACACTTTCCTTCCTAGCCAATGCCTTTGAAAAATAAAGTTAACTAGAACAACAAATGTTTTCGATAATTTCCTTTTTGGAGCTGATAAATTTCACTTATTCCGTATTTCACTATCGATTTCATTAGCTTAGTTTATTTTTCGTACAGTGAAGTTTTAAAAAACAAAATAAACTTTAAAATGATTTGTGGCAATATTTGGAAGACACACTTTTTTTTGAGTTAGATTTCTAAAATCAAATTGAGAATCATCTGTTGTTAATGTCTTTGCCTACGATCTTGTACCAGTTGTCCAAGTAATAATAAAGAGTCATTCAGAAATGGAAATCCTTTTGACCTTTGTCTTCTTCTTCAACAAACCTAATTAGTTAATAATTCAATGGTTGAATTGCTAATTAATTAGGAGAGTAAAAAACAATTTGGTTTTTAAAAAAGTGAAGAACTATTCTTAAGAAATACATATTTGATTGGAATTTCCACATATAATCAACAGTGTTGCAATGGTTTTCACATATGCATATAATATCGGAAACAGTATTGATCAAATTCTATTACGAAACATTGTATTTGAAAACTTATTGAAACTTAAATAAGTGCAAAGATATTGAAAACTGAAGCTGGTCATAATACTTTTTTTGTTCACTTTTAAAGTAAATCAAAACTGGATAGCTGATAGCCAATTCGAATAAGATATACTTTAAAAGAGTAATTCATAAGCAATCTATATCCCAAAAATAACTATTCCTTGCTCTACTCAATTCATCGTTCGTCTTCTCATCATCCCTTTTCACTCTTTTCTATTCATTCTTCTTTTATGTTAATTACCCAATTCAAGAACAATGCATCTTATCTGAAAACATAGTACTTTTAGAAAGGAACTATTTGTATCAGTTCAAACATTTCAAACAATTGGTGGGTCAAATAGTTGAATGGTAATGAATGGTGGAGTGTCCACATTTGAGCAGATGTGATTCGAAAATGACACGATTTCTTCTATAATGGTTTTCTTCAAAAAAAAAAAATTGCAAATAAGCAAAGGGCGGTTGTAGATCACCATTCCCAATAGCATTTTTGCTTCCATTATTGTTACTCCAAAAATCCAACTTTCTTCCAAAATACAAAGAATGAATTCACCCCAAACTTATTTTCAGCTTTTCTCTTGACAAAAATACATTTGCTTCAAAAACTTCATAACTATTAAGCTTCTTTCAACAAACTTGACGATACTATGACTGTGAAAATGCCCACTTCGAAAAATCAGCTATAACAGCAGCCACTTTTTCCGTCTGCCGACTGGAATTTTAGAGTGGCATGTCTTAATTTGTTTTTAAGTAATGTTCCGAAACAAATTATGGTTCCTTATGGTAATTATAAATTATGATCACTTATGGTAATTACAATTAATTCAGAAACATTTCAAAAACCATATTCACTTTAATTCAACTTAAGAAATCCATATGCTCAATGAATAACAGACATAACATTTGCTTCATTAGACAATAAAAATATTGACAAATTAATTAACGGCAACCTGTTAACCGTACGATAGACGAGAGACAGCGCTATAGACCATAATTAGTCCCAGCGTTTTCTTCATTGATGTTTCACTTATTTCAAGAGATACTGCATGTTTAAAAATTCTATAAAACTTATTACCTCCAAAACTGAATGAAACTCGCGAATGATTTAAAGGGTGAAAAATAACGCAAGCTAGCGGAAAAATGCATGTTCCACCTCTTAAAACATTATATGCAATAGAAAAAGCACATTGAACTAATCAATGTCGTTAAAATCGTTGTTATTAATTGCCAAAATATGAGAATATCATTTCTTCCCCTTAGAATAACTTCACATAATACATGTTTTATTAAAAAAGGAGAAAACTATGCATAAATATCCTTTCTCTCCAAATATAATCCTAATTGGAATATCCGCTGGAAAAGAAATATTTGGGAAGAAATTCGAATTACCAAAATCATTCTTAAGTAATCGATTCAATATGCATTACTTACGGTAACGATACTTTATCTTTTAATCTTGAATCACTGAGGAGAGGAAGGGAAAGAAAGGAAAATATTTTGTCCCACAATTCTTTTAATTCTCCATAAAGCCTCGAAATACTTTTTCCCGTCAGTGTCATGCAGATCTTAGTAGAGCTGAATTCATACGGCTATATAGCATATTTAATGGAGGAAAATTTTTTAAAAATTTCATTTGACTATATAGCATATTTAATGGAGGAAAATTTTTTAAAAATTTCATTTGATGGGAAATCCGAAATCGACAAAAAAAAGTGTAATTGAGAATTATTAACATATTCTTTCATACACCAAAGAATGAAATTTGAAGGGTTTTATAAAACGAAGTTCAATATTTTCGTATAAAATACATCTATTACAGCAAAGAAACATATACAAGAAATTGAGATGCGAGCAAAAATTAAACTTCAGGACCTTCACCTCCAGGTACCAACATTGTGATATGATTACCATTCAGCAAAATGGTATCTAACTTCGTTACTCTTTTACCATCAACTGTATTTTCATACTCCACAACATCTTCTAGTACCATATTAACGTAATCATCAAAACCTGTCAACGTTCCAACAATCTCCTTTTCACCTGCAACGGAATTCACATGCACTAATTTGTAGCTATATCTGCAGTGTTTTAGATTCGCATGATATATGACACTTTCAATTTTTAGTACCTAAATATTGAGATAGATGAAGAACCTCAGCCATCGCAGAAAATGAATTTTGGATAAATGAATAAGCGATGGCATATTGGTCACTAATAAACAATTCGTTGCTCTAGGGATGCATGACTACGTCTATACCAAGCACACAACACAGATTAAACCTGACATCACCAAATGCTTATCGCTTTTTTTTTAAACTAACCTTTCATAATAACCCAGATCCTGGAACCAATACATTTGTCTACCAATTCCAATGGTAGTAACGTTGACGGATTCGATGATGTAGAATTCGACATATTTGGAAAGCTAGAACAAAAAAAAGAAGTGAAAAAGTACAAAATCCCAGAATCCTTCATGATCAGACCACTGTCCAGAATAACTCAATATTATTTTTCATAGCCTCATATCCGATTATTAGACTTCCTCATCTCGAGATTCATCCGAATGTAACAAAAATCGTAACATCACGCATTCCATTAAGTCCGCCGTTAATAATCATATGATCTCAGTTTATGCTTCTTGAAAATGAACCCATAAAAAATACAAAACATGACAAAGTCCCAAAGTCACAACTTATGCTAGAAAATGCGGAACTATGACACCCAATCCATTCTATTCCACACAAATGAAAAAAGCTGTATTTGCGACACTTACCATAATTTGAGCAAAAGCAATTTTACTATATCTTCTGGAAATTAACCCGAAAAAGGGCTCTAACAGCAAAAACGATGAATAACATTTATCCAGACAAAAAGAGTTACTGCTACATTAAAAACTCTAAAGAATTAAGTCTAAAGAATATTCCATTTTGAAAGAAAAGAAAGAAGGAATATAGTGACAAATGGATGAGAACGTTGAGGAAACGAAGGAATTAGAAACAAGCACAGAATAGCTCATGAAGTTTCAAGACTTCTCGGACGTTAGAAAAGATTGAATATATGAGATGAGAACAGTTCTAGGAAAACAGGCGAGAAAAGTCGTGAATAAAAGTTGAGAACAAAAATTAAAATTGCAAGCATACAGTACAAATGACAGAACAGATGTACGGAAATAGAATGAAGAGATGTTTCAAATCCCTACAAATCAAAAGTCTCACAAGATTCCAAGAAATAATGGAATACTGCTTAGCTAAAAGTCTTAGCATCTTTGTAGCTCTTGAAGACCTCTAGAGATTCTGGAATGTAGCCTCCAAACTCAAGAACAAAAAATTCGCATTTTGCTTAAAGGAAGCAATGAAATAATGCATTTTACATGAAGCAAAGAGCAAAACTAAAAAAGATTACGGATGCTTATATAAATTTACTTATGTAGGAAACAAGCAAAAATTTAGCAGACAGTCTCAGAAATTAATAGGTACTAAAAACAGAACCCAAAAATTCCGGGCATTTGATAGCCAGCACCTCATAACCACTATATTCTAAATGGTTTCTTTTATTATTATGTAATTAATGTGCCCATAATGCAACCCTTATTTTAATGAATGAAATTTACAATTTAAAATTACAAATTTCCAGGAATTCCTATGTCAACCTACTTCAACCGTTCAATTTCGATTTTAAACATGTTCATTCTCAAAGCCACGAAACATACGCAAAGCGGAGATGAGAATCACAGAATAACCAACACAAAATAAATCTCTTGAGTAATTTTCTAGACTTTAATATCAACTAGCAATACCTAAAAAGATGTGATTCCCATTTCTTTTATAAAATATGCATTATACGCACTAGTATATTGAAATAAATTTATATAAATTAACAACAATGCCTAAAATGACTAATTTAGATATCTGATAACAAAAAAGGATGTAAAACGAACACGCGTTCGAGTGATTGTCATTACTTTTAAACAAAATATGGCAATTCAAAAGCAAAAGAAAAAACGAGACGTAAATCATTTTAAATAGCAATAAAATCATAAGATTAACAGAAAAAAAGGACCACAGCTTTAAACATTTTATTCTGCTTTTGTTCTTGCAGAATTATCAGTTTCTTGCTTTCAGTAAACTTCATCACCGTTCTCCACCTCGTTCTCATCCGGCGGCGCAAATCCTTCTTCTGTTTCATACAATATCTTTAAAATTTCACTGACTTAATTTTGGAAGAAATAACAGAAAGTTTTTTTTTTTTTTTGGAATGAAGTCCTAAATCTATAAATATAATTCATGTGGAACGGTCTAAACTGTTTATTCCAAGCAGTTCACAGTCATTAAACTTATTCATGCGAAAATTTCACTGATACTCCTGCCAAGTCTCCAAAAGCAGTAATAACTGTAGTCTGATGAAAAATGGCAGAAATTAAGGTTATGAGTTTCATTTATTACTGTTGAGATAGACGTCTCCAGAAAGATAAAAAAAAATCAGTTTTCTTTTTTGCAGCCACAGTGATAGAAGGTGTAGCAAACAATGAGCTAAAAGAAATGAAATCTATATAAAACAATTTAAGTGAAATAAAATTACGCTAAAGTCATAATTAAAATAAAAAAAAAGAAAATATACCGTAAGTACACGACCTACGTCAACGGTTCCAATTTGTTCATTATCTTGACATATCACTTCAATCTGCCGCAACTTCGAGAAATAAAAGTCACGCTCCTAGGAGTTAAAAACATAGAAATAAGTATATGTACTGAAATTATATATTTTCATTTCAGTTAAAATATTGCCCAACTAAAATGCATGTATATTAAACGAAATATTTTTACAGGAATAAATAATTTATAACAATTGTATAATTCCCTAGCAAGCAGCCTGTAATATAAGAAAATTTTGACGAATGTAATGGCACAACGACCAACCTTTTCAAGACTGACTATCACGTTATCACCTTCAGCTATCTGTTCCTTGGCTTCCTCCAATTCGCGTTTTAAATTCGCCATTATCTGTTAAAATGGAATAAATTAATAAAAATATCGCGAAAAATACAGAAATTTGATTGCCATTTTATTACTAACCAATACTACATTAAAATATTTTTCAACATAACGTATCAGCCAATTTCCATTATCACTGTCAATCAGTTCAGTTTGGACTCTTTTACAATTCATCACCAAGAAAAAATTTTTAGTAACTTTGTAAATACCTGAGGATCTACCGCAGGTTGCACGGGGTTGGCAGCAGTTCGCGCAGTACTAGCTGCAGCAGGCTGTGCAGCTGTTCGAGTTGGATTAACTTTCCCGCCAACAGCTGGTGCTTTTCGCATTTCACCTTTATTCACAGAAGCATTTGATGTCGAGAGAGTGGATTTCCTGTTTGCGAAATTTCACGGTAAGTTAATTATGAATGCAACTTTGCAGCAGAAGATTCGGAACTCATCATAATTCGCTAGAAGCACTTTATTTCTATATCATTATATTCTGTCTAAAACAGTCGTAAAAATGAAATTCAGTCAGCCAATTATTAGTGCATTTTCTTACAGCTGACATTAGCTCAAGCTAGTAGGTAGTCTTTATTGGTCTTCCATACATTTTACTATATCATTCACTAAACTTCTTTTCTAAATTTACCATACACCATATGCAACTTTTATTCTTTTCGCATTATGATAAATCCGAAATGGATTCTATGCGAAACTTCAAATTGTCGTTTAAAAAAGTTACAGCTAAACAGATCCAACTTCAAAGATTCTGAGCACATAAAAATCAATCATTACAATCATTTCATAATGAATCCATAAAAACCAACCTGACAGGTGGAGCTGACGACTTCGCAGGCATTCGCGAAGGTGGATTTATCTTTACATCAGATGGTAATGGTTCGCCACCTCGAGCTTCCAATGGATCATATTCGTGTCCATCAAAATTTGCATCAAAAAATTTCTTAAACCATTGCAGGAACTCAAAATTGTCCTGCAACAACAGCAAATCTTCAAGGATTCTAATAAAACAAAATTGGTGATATTACTGGTTACTGGCGATATTCACTCTTCACGTGAAGAATGAGTCTTAAAATCTAAAAACCATTTAATATCTTTATTTTAGCAAAATCTGCTCAACGCAAAAACTACCTACCTGAAATTTTCCCTTAATAAGTTTCTCCACGGGAACAATTTTATCAACACCTAGAGTTTTCCATGATGTCTGCAGCAATTTCCAGTTACTTAACCAATCCAATTCTAATCTGCTGTTCCATTTTACCCGCCGCAGCTGTATTGAACCAGGAAACAGGAAATCTGTGAACTTCAAAAAAGGACGTTAACTACGGAAAAGAAATTCAAACAGTCCAAAGCACCACTTAGACACTAGGATTCTTCCATTCCAAACATATTGAAATTTTAGCCATCCCAGAGCTTTGAAATGAGATTGAGCACCCAAAATGATCACGATTTCCTTATAAACAAAACCGACTCTTCATAAAACATTTTCAGAAAAAAAAGATCTCGTCCAAAACTTCGCTTTGCCTTACTTGACAGTAAGCGGCACCCGTATGCATTTCTTCAATTTTTGCAAAATTTGACTGCAAGCAATCGTTTACCCACATGAGCATTTCGTGTCGAGACAGATTCTCTGTCGTTGCAGATGTTGCATACACATTTACAACTGACATCTAGAAAATGAGATGTCAATATTAATATTCAACTTTCATCAATATCTATTCTATGTAGAATTCAACAACCAATTAAGCTGTTTAAAATCGAAACATTTTTATAAGTATCTAAACCACAATAGTGAACCAATATCAAGGTGTTCATTTAAAGCTGTTCTTCATTTCTTCACTCTCTGCAGCAGCATACATTTTTCGTTCACTTATCTCACTGTTAAGAATTTAAAGTTATTAGCACTTCAAATTCGAGAAGTTACTGGGAAAAGTGGCCAATGGAATATTATAGGAATGATTCACAATTAATAATCAATTCTTACTCTGCATGTTGATTTCATAAATAATATTAAGAAAAATGATAAAGTTATTCCCTTGAACGCTTCAAAAGAGAAATTGTCAAAAAAATAAAAGAGAAAAAGTTTATGGTCTTCTTGTTGGATTTCAAGCAAAAATTATCTACCTAATTGTAATTGTTCGAAAATATTTCAACAAATGATAAGGAAATATTAACCTCTGATGATAAACCGGCTTGTTACTGTCGGAAGAGAATTGAGCTTCTGGTCATAAAATAATCCTGAAAAAAGTGGTAACTAGAGTAAATTTTTCTTAACATCGATTCCGATTGCATGAGAATACAAAGTGGAATTAGTTGAGAACATGATTCTGTAAGTAAACATTAACCAATAAAGAATTAATAAATCAGACACGAGATGCAGAATAGAACAGTGCCATACATCCTACAACCAATGTTCAAGAAATACTGTGATCTTGCAAAACTCTAACGTCTTCAATAATAAAATCTTCATTTCTAGTAACAAGATTTAAATTCCATCAACCAAGAAAATCGTCAGTCTTTATTAATTGCAACAACGATACATTGCCGCAATCTTCTTTAACTGAATCATTACGACGATGAACGGATTTGTATAAAACGTAGGCGGTGACCTTGACCCGTTCTACTTTATGCCAAATATTCGTAGCAAACCATAAGGGAAAGCAGTACAAGGACATGGGGAATGTTAAGAATTTGTTGATATTTGATTTAATTTCATGCTGAAATTTAAAGCAGAGGCTAAAATGTAACCTAGCTCTTTAAGTACACAAAAATATATGCACAACATTTTAAAACAAGTGTATTCACCTACTTCTGCTACCAACAAGGAAGCCCAGTGTCTGCTTTTGGCAGTCAAATCAATTATAGAGTCTGAGTAAATTAACACAAGGATAGGAAATGATCGCTCCATTAAAAAAGTTTGAAAGACAGCTAAAAAATCATCCTTGTGAGGACCGCACTAGAAATGGTACATCAGTGCAAGATTACATTCTTTCAGCAAGTGAATTCAACTCCACAGAAAATAAAAAAGGTTGTCCTATCAAAAAAACTGGAAGAGAAAAAGCATCCCACTAAAGTTAGTTCTTCCTTTATGTGAGACAAATCTTTCAACATATCAAGTCTACTTTTTTTCGGCTCTACTTCACTTGAAAGAAAAATCACCTCACCTGACTACTCACCAAAAGCTAATGTTTAACGTAGTACATTGACAAAGAACGAGTTAAAGAACGTTCCTTTTTTCACAGTTTCTTCCACATACATTATACGTAATTTTTTTATGTATACGGACAATAAATAATGACAAAAAAAACAGAACATACACGAATACTGTATAGTGACAAAAAAAAAACATACACGGACATTATTTTTATATACGGACACATGAATTTTTTATATACGGACATTATAATTTTTTTTTATACAGACATTATATGTAATTTTTATGAATAACAGGATCGACAGAGAAAATTGTGGAGTGTTCTCCATAATTATAGTTTAGCTTAAGTTAACAATATGGTTTAGGTTAAGTTGAATAGAGGTAATTTTTGATAAATGAAAAATTATCCTGCAAAGGGTCGACAAAAGCTGAAATTTTTGACATAAAATCTGTAACGAAATGGGCTAAAAACCGATGAACTTTTCCATCCAAACAAAAATAACAACCAACAAAAGACTCAGTGACCACAATAGCTTCATTCAAAAAGCAGGTGCGGAGGTGAGGAAAACTAAAACAAAGATTCAACAGGATTTAAAAAACTTTCACTCTAATTAGAACTAATAATAAGCAAATAAGAAATAATAATAAGTGAACTAATAAGAATAATAAAATAAAGAATAATAAGTAAACTAATGAAAAAACTAAATTATATCAAAAATGTTTACTGTCAATTACTATCACATCTCCTCTGTTGTATTTCTTTTCGATCTGGACAAACTTCAAAAACTTCAGCAGTCAAAAATCAAATGCATTAAAGCAGTAAGCCGTAGTGGATTTATCTTTAATAAATACCGCTTACTGCTTCAATATCCTGCAGGCAATGGTGACAAGCTAGACCCATGATCCACCGTTGTTCCATTCCGGTCTTCTACCAATCACATCAAACAATTCCACAAAACAAGTATTGTGCTAGTATCCATTTCAGTAGATATCACAAAGATCGAACAATTTTGGATAATGAACACCAATTCAGTCTTACTCTTTCACAAAAACTCCTCCTCGATAGACCACATAGTTCTCAATCTATCAATAAATTTAAAGCTGAATGCATACAGCAATCTTGCAAAAAGGAACTTTTGCTTTGGAAACTTTAAGCCTATACAGCTGACTTTTGGAATATCAAGGATCATTAAGAATTCTTTACTTGCCCAATCCCGGGCGCACGGATCAACGATCGACCACAAGTAAACACCAAACAGCATCACCAACCGATTGTTTGAGATAATTTGATTCCTATTCTATTTAATTCTACAATAAGGTTAAGAGATTACTACCTATCTTCAATAATTATAAACTGCAATCATAAAGGCAAAATAAATGAAAATAGCCTCGGCGCATTTACAATAACAAAAGCACAAGCAACCACAAACTACCATGATTCATATTTTATTTTCACTTTTTTGAAAAGCAGTAAAATTAAAAACTTACAGTTTAACAAAGATCTGTGGGCGATTTATTTATCACCGCAGAAAAACAAATCAAAGCGAATGGAAACATACTCAATCTGACAAAATAAAAGACAGGATAGACAGCATGAATTTGACAACTTCAGAAAATTCACTACATTTGCCATAATGACTCATCACATATATTAAGCAAAACAGCATATTATGCAAGCTCTAATGAAAATATTAAACTTTATCATCAATGATCTAACAGTCAGTTCTCGCGTAATGGTCTTAATGGTTCCCATCAGCAAAGTGTCGGTGGTATCGACAAAAACAGATGGATTTGAATCGACTGAATTCGTATTAACCGACAATCCTCCAGTTTGTCTCATAGAAACGAGATGAGAGAATAAACAAAGTTCCAAAAAAAATAAACAAAGAAATCAATAATCAATACCCGAAGTATTCTATTTAAATGACCTTAAGAGCAAATAACAAGTATGTCAATTTTTCTTTTTTTTGGAAGATGGGGATATCGTTTAGGAATAAGTACCAGATTAAAATTAGCCGCCCGCAACCAATTAACAAATGAATGGTCAAAATCTATCACTCACAAGAGAGTGTATCACAAAAATAAAAACCGCGACTGTTATCAGAAATATATCAGTGAAGAGATCATGTAAAATAAACCTCTAGAATAATATCTGTTATTTACTAATCGTAATAAAAAGAAATATTAAACATCAGAAAGTGATAACATCAGAAAATTTTCCAGTTCTTTCATGCATTTCAATCGCGTGTTATGTTTCTGGAACGGAAATAAATACAGTATGTTCTTTTCGATCCCTGCATCGAATTATTAGCATTGCGTTTAAGATATTTACATCTAGACTGCCTAATTTTCTGATTTTCTTTTTTGCAAACCAGAAAAATTCCTAAAAATACAAAAATGCAAGGTTTTGCTTGAATCCAAAAGCGACAGCAAAAAATACTAAATTCTGTAAAATGATAATTGTATGGGAATAAAATTTATAATATACATCCATAATCTACTAATAAAATATAATTAAGTAATGCCTGAGACAGATAACGCACTGCAAAAGAAAAATGATGTAGAAAAACCAGAATAAACGCACGCTACTTAAGGAAACACTAATGTATTTCAATGCTGCATGATATCACGAGGATCATGGCGACCGCGATAAACCCATACACATAGATAATCTGCAATTTAATCATTATTAGGTAAGAATTAATGAAAGAACACGAAAATGCTAAGTCATCCTGCAGGTAAAGCTGGATGGTAAGGATATATTTCTATCAAACTCAGTTTCGGTTTGAACATTTCGAGTCTGAAATTAAATTAAACTGACAGAACATAATTTGTGCATTTCGTTACTAGCACTTACCTGGATCCATATAACGCAATTGTTAAAAACTCAAAAATGAAGGGAAAGACGACTTTGCAAGGAAAGAAATAGCCGCTGTTTTTAAAAAAAATACACTTCAGATATTCCCATCAGCTATGAATTAACCAAAATATATTTTAGATTGGTAACGAGTAAGGAAGGTCAATAAAACTATTTCATAAAGTACACTTTATGGAAAACATGACAAATGAAATAAGACTTCCACACTAACATGCTCCGATTTCGTTTTGTTTCATTGAGTGATACTTGTTCACCGATATGTCGATCTTCAGAAGATGGTTCAACAATCACTGCAGAAACCAAGTTTCGATGGTCCTCAGAAGAATTTGACCCATCGTCCTCTTCAATTGTTGACCCATAAAGCTGATCGAGTTGTACATATATGCTTAGTGGACGATGGGCTGGGACATTGTTACATGCTGATATCGGAACACGATGTAATTCGTCCTGCAGTATACACTACATTTACCTCTTAAATTTCACAGTATTTCACCCACTAAATATCTTTTTATTTTTTCCTATATTCAAGTATCTTTTTTTCTGTATTCATTGAAGTTTTTGTACTCAATTTCTGTATTTATTAAATTTCTTCGATAAGTTCTGTATCCACTGAAGTTCTTCGAAAAGATGAACATTCTAGTCAAATTATGATTAAAAAAAAACAACGTACGACAACCACTTTTTGCATGTACCATTCGCATCTCCTAATATCATGCATATTCATTCGTCTTTCCGGATCTTTATCGAGCATAGCAATAAGCAAATATTCCAACGGTTTCGAAAGTTGAACACTTTGCGGCATTTGCAAGGGTTGATTCGCGATATTATCAAAAAGGCGCATGATGACATCACCTTCGAATGGATATTCACCACTTACCATATTATACAACGTCACACCGGAAGCCCAAATATCCACTTTTTGACCGCTGTAGGTGAAAAAAAAAGATGGATATTTAATTATAAAATGAAATCCACCAAACAGCGTATTTATTAGATGCACTGTTCTCGGAGTCATTCGAAACAGTAACAATTGCTTTATGTTTAAGAAGTTTATATAGGATTAGTCACACTTTCCTTCTGTACCTATGCATCCAATATTTGAACGATACACATCAGAAAGAAAAAAATAATTTCCAGAAACATTCTTTACGACAATTAAAGAAGACTTATACCGGTAATTCTCGGAAGTTCCCGAAACAATTTCAGGTGGTTGAAATTTTGGAGTGCCCTGAACAACTGTACACCAATCTTCTGCTTGAAACGTATCGAGCATTTCGGCTACTCCAAAATCACTAATTTTGAGCGTTCCATCCAAAGCGACTAGAAGATTACCCGGCTTAATGTCTTTGTGTATCACGCCTGAATGAAAATTATTTTGCTAAATGTTGAGAACAACATCCCTGATTTTCAAAAATATGAGATATGTTAGATTACATCTGTTTATACAGCAAAAACTATTTTGAAACGCCCAAAATCAACGGTTTTATTTATTCTTAGAAGAAACTCTGCAATTCCTGCTGTGAATAATATATTTCAAAATGCAACAATTCACATGTATTGCAAGTCCTCTAATTAACAGAACATACTGTACATATTATTCCAGACTATATCAAACATACCATGACCATGAAGATAACTTAAACCATCGCAAAGCTGTCTGAAGAAATACTGCGCTTGATATTCAGGCAATTTCTTTTCTTTAGACCCATCTAGAAGTTGCTGCATGGAACCAATACAGTACTCTAATATCATATACAATTTCTGTTTGTCGTCAAGACGAAAAAAATCGCGTAAGGCAATGACATTGCGATGCCGTACTCGTTTTAATATTCTCAATTCCTGTTCAACGTTAGCCTGAATAAAGCAAAACTTTTCTTTTTTGCGAAAAACACAATCTTCTCTATTTTAAACTAAGAAAATTGAATCGAAGTAATAATGTTATAACAAATTTGATCAACTCAGGAGCCAAAGACGTTAAAATCCAAATGATAATGAATACATACATGACCGTTCGGGATTTTCCTCAGTCGCGCTTCTTTGATAATTTTGACAGCTCTTCTGACTAAAGTATCTTGTTCCAGCACTTCCTTAACTTTCCCATATGAGCCCTCCCCAATTCTCTCTCCAAATAGATAGCCATTCACTATTTTCGGTTTTTTTTCGACAAACACTTCTTCAACAAACTGAAACTGCCAGAGAAGTTGATTCACTGAAGTACTAATACTAAGCACAAAATTAAATATTGTTTAAGATCACACTGCTGCGTTTCAAAACTGACTGACATGCGACTCAGTTTATCGCAATCCAATCGCCTCGAATAGAAAAGGAATCGGATGAGCATCATGTTTAGGTTGATGATGCTCGTTACTATGATGGAATGAACCAATTGTTGCAACTATGGCAGAAAAATCACGGTGCAATTGTGATAACTGCTACGCTATATCAGCAAATGTGCAAGAGTATATTTTAAAACTTCTACTTACTGTATCATCCGAAAGTGGTTGAAACAAACGATTTTTATCTGCAAAGACATTGTTGAGTACTGCATCGAAGTCAGAATCACAGTCCGGCGAAAATTCAATCTTTAATGTATACGTGAGTAATAACTTCATCTGAAGCGGTAATGTCTAATTTTTTGCAATTTTTAAAACAATAAAAGAAAGTTCGCCTAGAGACATACCACTGATTGGTCAACTGCGCTGGAAGATGGGCTGGCTAGTGAACTCCATGCTCGTAAACTTTCCCTGAGATCATTTACTTCGGTTTCATCTTCACAATCATCACCGCCTACTGTCATGCTCTGCAATATAGTTGCGACATTAAACAGAACGGATTTAATATCTTATGATCCAGCATTTGCTAACAAAAAGAGATTAAAATTAACCCGCTGAAACAAAGACATATGAGTATGGAAGACAGGTGAACTAAAATACGAAAACTAACCACAGTCCGCCACCTGGAACTATCGGACTCCACCGACATCGACGTACTCACTTCCGAACTCATTGGCTGATCAGTGCAATAACGAAAAAAAGATGAGAACGAAAAATATCACATCACATGCGTTCGATCTGCAATACATCGAATGATCAACAATTGAAAATTGCTGGTGTCCCTTAGAGAGTGACAGAACACGTCCCTTCCTTTTCGTCCCCGCTTATCCTCCCGGATTAATGTACGTAAATAAATTGCTTCTATCATATTTAACCCTTCACTTTCGAGAGAAAAAATCAAACACTGAGTACTTCTCACTTAGTCAAACACTTCTTCTGTGTTTACTTCCGCAAAATACTTGCTTTGTTTAAAGTTCAAATCGTTCACAACATTCCAGATTCATTGAATTTACTTTTTGAATTTATGAATACTACTATAAATATAATTCTGCTTACTCAACATGTCACATATTTCCTTTTCTGAGAAAAATCTGTCACCAAACTATTCTATCTCACCATAAAACTCGACAAACTGATGATATTTCAAAAATCCTGCCTTGCACAATAAATTCCACTGGACCTCATCCCCATCAGGGGATCAAAACCGGGAAACTCAAAAACCTGATAAGAGACATCACAAAACTGATCGAAAATGAACACCGTCCAACTCAATTAATTAAAAACACCCTATGACTGATTATAAAACATAATCCCTGGCCTCAAATCCGTCTTATTTCCTTTCACTTGCACCTCCCTCTGTGAAACTTAGCTTCCCGAGCACATAGCAATACTTCAGGTAACCGACAAGTCAAGAACGCTACTTTATTGATCTCATCGTGACAACAAAACCACTTTCTCATTTGTTGTTCTTATCTGTAAAATACCGTCCAAAACAAACAGGAAGGATTTAAAGTGACTAAAGAATTTTTTTTAGGAAAACACGAAAGTACAGCCGGAAGAATGAATGGCTATACTTATGAAAACTTCCACACATAATAATCCCCGTAACAATACACCACTTCTCAACCACCAGGAAATGTATCATTCTGATGGGAGCACAGGAAGTGATGTCGAGGAGCACTAACTCTCGGTTCAGTTACAACATATTTTCAGCTTTTCATCGCAATTTGCTTTGATTGCTTTTTCCATCATTTTTTGTATCATTAAAACCAAGAGAAGTTTTATCCCGCTTAACGAATGCTATTTCTACTGAACAGAAAGCACATCTAGAATACCATACAGGATTCACTGCTATTAATCAAATGTCAGCTATGATATATATCGAGAAGCACATAAATATAGAAGACCACATAGAATTATATTTTATAGATAAATCAGGCAGTGTAACAAAAACACTTCTAAGATTCTCAATACGCACTATTGTATGGTTTTATCGTGGAGAGATGAAACATGTGAAGTCTTGTAAGAGTAAGGGAGAGAGAGAAATGTTTAACACCCTATAAATTTTGAGGATCCTTTGCGAAAGAAAAGATGAAATGTGTATTAGAGAGATGAAAGTGACATTACCTGCGTCATTTGCTTATTCCGCAAAACTTTACAAGATTACATTACGACTCATGAACTTCCAAAACGTCGTTGAAGAAGTAATGAGATAGAACAAAGCCCTTTTTATACCTCAGGAAAAAGTTGAAGTTGCCGAATGAATTAATAAAAACAGGAAAGAGATGTCCTGCCTAAAACTTCAAATTCTGATCTCCAACAAATTTCAAATTGGTCTTACACATTCTTCATCCATGTTGAGTTTTTCCATCTGAAATAACGCTCAATATTTAGCAATACAAGATACCAAAAACGGCTTTCAAAAAACGTTCTGAACATGAATCAATCCAGATATCACTTCTAACGCTGCAGCACAATACACTCGATGCTACTGAAATGCATCGTGTAACACATTATTCCAGACTTTATATTAAAAGATGCATAGTTAACTGCGATTTTCAAGAAGATGGATAGCCCTCTAAGGAACATTAAATTTTACGGACAAAGATGCGATGGATCACATTAGTAAATTGTGTTCTCCTCAAAAAAAGTTTTGCTTTTATCTAGGCTAACGAAGCAGTTTTCAAACATTATTATATGCTGTTTAAATTATACTTTAATCAAGTTCCGGTTCAACCATGCCCTCTTGAAGGCAATCGACAAAACTGCTGACGACAGCTTCAGGAATACTAATATTATCATTCAGAAAATCAAGTTCTCCTGGTTCAAATAAGAAATTAGAATGAGATCCTTTGATCGCATCAGGCAATTTTATTTCACTTTTTTTTTTCCTCACCACTTTTTCTGACCTGAAATAGCGATAGCATTTTTTTTCAAACCATTTAAAACAGAACCAAAAAATACAACCCAATTCCTTTCGAAATGGCACCACTATAAATCAGTAAAGAATGTATTACATATTATAAAATAATATAAGTAATTATGCATTATAAAATACAAATAACTATATATTACAGATATGATTATAAATACATGCAAAATATTATAAATAATTATATGTTATAAAATATATTATAAAACAGTGTTATTTTTCAGAAAAAAATATAACCTGATAAGACTTGTACAGTTCAAATGGCAAAAAAAAATTGATGCAGAAAACAACCTCTTGCATTCTGAGCGGAGTTTTCATGTATTCCTTATCATTCTTTAACGATTCTAATCCTTTCAAAACCTCCACTCGCCGAATATCAATCGATCTCCGACCATAACCAACACCTTCAATTTTCGAAATTAGAAAAAAACAATGGCCCTAACACGTTCAACAACGCATAAATAAAAAGGAATATGAACAGATTCCTCCTCCTAAAACTTGCATATGCCTTTCCTCACAAAAAAGTACAAAAAAAAATTTTTTTCCGAAGAATTTACCAAATCTATCATCCACAGCGAATCTGAACAGTCTATAATTGGCCTCTTCGTGGATCTCCGATGATAAATTAGTATGTTTTTCTAGATGGTCGCGAAAAAAAGCCGACGAACAAGTTGTAAACATACATCTCGGCAGTGGACAACCAAACGTCGCTGAAAGCCCAAAATGGTACGATCTGAAGTGGGAAATTATTGTTTATTGTTTAAAGAATAACACAGAGTCAACAGGAATCAAAGTCAAACAGAAACTCAGTGAATAAATACAGACAGTGTCTTTTTAGCATACTTATTTTGGGATATATTCCGCCGTGCTTCAACAATTACACCACAACAAGGGTTTCGGTAGGATTTTGAAGAAGCTTACCTAAATTGCTTTTCAAAACAGGGTAAAACTCCAAATATAGATTATAATAACTTCATTTCATTATTAATGCTGCAAAAGAAAGAAAAGAGCATCAAGTTTTTAGAAGATTTAGTTATTTAATATCAGTTTGTAGCAATATGGAGAAATGATTTAAATTCTCAACATGTATGAATTCCATTTTCAGTCATATCTCCTTGCTAACAACCACAAGATACTAAAGTACCAAAAATCGAAGTAGTCCGAGTAAACAGAAATTAAAAAAGCAAATAGTTTGAAATTAACCCAATGTGTTGTTGATAGCTTGCGGGTTCCATGTACATTTCGTTGCAGTATGGGCATTGGTAGCCCCAAGCTTGACGTGGAATGTGATTCCGCAAAGTATGGCGTCTCAAAGTCATCTGGCTAGCTGAGAGTAAAAGTTGTCAGTTAAATATCTCGAAGGCATCGTAAAGCTTTGAATTATTGCATTAAATGAAAAATGTTGAACAAAAAAGGACCTTTAAATAGTACTTTCAAGGCACACAAAACTTTTGTGACCCTTATCCCAAAGAATTAAGAGCTTACGAGTGCAATGTCTACGAAAGGAGTGAAGGTTTGTCACGGTAACTGCTACTATTTAATATCAAATTCTGCATAAATGTAGTTCCTAACAAAGACAGTGTTAACGTGAAGTATTCTACTTGAAACGTATCCTTTTCTGAACAGTGATTCAGTACTGATTCGATTTTCGCTAATTTTTTTTCTATGCCATTACTAAAAAGCATATCTTACCGGCAGCATATCCGCAATGTTTGCAAGCGAATGGCCGCAAATTGGTATGTACATTGAAATGCTCATCGTAAGAACGCTTCGATGAAAGCTTTTTGCCGCACAGTTCACAAGTCCATTTCATCTTGAATATTAGATCTCGATTATAACTCTGGAAAAGTAATTAACAAATTCGCTTCCTCAATGCCTTCTAGTCACCGCTTCTGCACTTATTATTCGACTTAAGAAAAACGTTTAATTAGAATCATAAGATACTGAAATATAGTTAGCAACGTAACCAGTGTCCAACCAGAAAGTATTTAACCCATAACCAAACGAGAAAGTCCCAACTTTAATTGGAATCAGTCGTAGCAAGCTTTAATTCCAACTGGTGTCAACTTTAGCTAGTATCCTTCACTTTACGTTCTCTTTCAACCAAATGGAAGTCAGTAACATTGGTAGTATCTCGTAGACTAAAACCTAGACTAGTTGTTAAATAGAAATATATACCTTGTAATTCTCAAGTACAGGGACCTGCGCTAATATAGGAACTTGTGCCCGTGGTATCGATGACGACGTTGCCGCTACAAATGGTTTCATTATTGCTCTTCGTTATTCTTCAGCAAATAGCTCGCTGTACAATTATTACAATCAGAAAGGAAGAGAATAACAACCTGTTACTTCGATGATCTGAAACACATTACAAGGGACTGTTTTTCAAACACAAAACGCCTGGAACAATTCCCTACAACTTATCTATCACTACTCTAGTTTTCAACCTATAGAGATAACTTACAACAATGTAATGTACTGCCATTTCCGGATAAACTATAGGAGCAATTTCAAATCGAGTGTTAAGTTTTTGCACTCTTTCGATGTAAAATACAACTGATACATTGAAATAATCAAATTCGATTTAAATCTATTTGTTTTTCACTTAATTCGTGGGAAGGAAATCAATCGAGAATTTGCATAATACATAAAATAACTCAAAAAATCATGCAAGACAAAACTGATCATCATCAAAACATAACCAACGACTAGCACCACATTGAGAAGAATTTACTTCGAGATACAGGAAACTGAACCCTCAATAATGATTAAGCGAGAGACGGTAATTTTCATTCGGCCGCGGCAGAATGGCATAAAGACACTGAGTAGTGCCAGAGCTTGCTGACAGCAAAACATTGATTGTTAGTCGGTGTTGTCCTGAGTTGTGTATTGTGGTGATTGCAGGTCCTGGTATTTCGGAGGGAGTTCTCGATCCTCTCGATGAACCAGTTCTAAGATTATCATCTGCGAGTCAACATATGAGTTCACGATTTAGTACGAAAGGTATTTCGTTCCGAGACAAGCGTAGTCTTCTCTCTTTCTTAGTTCTACGTGAAAATTTAATTCTTTTATAAAATTCATCCCTTATAGATGTACGTGTCATTTCCAATGTTGATTAATCTTCAAAGTGGTAAGACATGAATTGCTTTATTGTTTGCAATCCATCGTTTTCACTAATCCAATTTGAATCTTTTCCTTTCCTTTATAATTCAACCAGTTCTAGAATTGCTTCTAAAAAGGAATACAGAAAAAGCGTGAGAGAGAAAATTGAGCTGATGAATATTGCATGCATTTCGCGCCGTTTATTCTGCACGCGCTGTGGCTTTCGGAAACCTTCATTTTCGATAAGTACGAGGTATGTTCACTCATTTTCAGATTTTACGGAGAACATTTTCTTCACTGCTCTGGTTATTAGAAGGCAGTATTTGTCTGCCATGCAAAACTTAAATATATATGCCAGTCCACCATGCGATTCTTTTTAAAGCATAAAATCATTGGCATTTAGGAAATTTTATAACCTTCATGCACAAAGATAGTGACTCTAAGAAGTCACTCGTCTGTAGCCACAACATTAGCAGTGTAGAAAACTTATGACGTTTTCCCATAAGTTCCAGGTTTTTGTATACCATATTTTGTCCAAAATCGCTAACTGGTGCACACAAATTGAATAATGCTAGCAGTTTGAAGCGAAGCACCTATCTGTTTTTGGTTAGGAATGTAAGTTAAAGTAATTTTTGCATTTTCATCTTCATCATCATTTTCTTTATTGATTTGCATACGGATTTATACTGTTTTAAAAATGTCACTTTTGTACTTAAAAATAGAATGGAATTCAAGAAAGCTATTTCCTTTTACAATCGAAATAATAAAAACTAAGATAAATAGCTTGATTTACACCACTGCTCATACTTTTTATCTTAAATTTGAGTGAGAAAGACTTGATTATTTATTTTATTTATTTCCTTTTTTTGGGGCACTCTTAATTATCACTCACCTAAATAGAAAGATGCACAAGGTTTCTTTGCTTTTTTTTCCCCCATAATAATTTCAGCTTTCAAAAGCTGCTAAACGAGAACCAGCAAAGGTTCGGCATGTTCGGTGGAAAGATTTGCGCGATATTTTTGCACTTGCATATCCGTGCAGGAAACGAATATACAGTAAGTTTTGAAAGTAATGTTTGTGTTCTTTTCCAAAGTCTCATTACTTTTTCCTGTTTCCTTTTATTCACGGTTATCATATTTTAATGCGAAATATGTGTCAGAAAAGATTTTACCAAAAACACCTTGCACCGGTATAAGATTTTCATGGTAGGACATTTATTTTTTTTATGTTTTCATTTATTTAAAATTGATAAGGCAAGTTACTCTTTTCAGCTGGTTTGTTGTTTTTGGTTATCGGAAACGGCATTGGCCTCGTCTTGCCCCGTATAATTTTCATGTTTATTGACATCGATGGTAACTGTGAAAAAGAAGAAAGCATAAAGGAAAATAAAACGGATGACAAGAATATGTATTTTATTTTGGCCGCCAAGTATCTTAGAGTACATTACATGGTATTATTCGGCCTTTTTTGCGTTGTTGCTGCCTCCTATGGTATCAGGCATTATTCTATGCATACTGCAGGTATTTTCATGGATGGTCAGAATAGTCTGAAAAATATTTCATAGTTTTCGTCAAATACAATGGTAGTTTATAGGAATGATATTCAAACAGCGAATGCATTACGACTATCTATAAATCCTCTGAATTTCCCAATGTCTAGTTTTAGTTTAATTTCACATATGTTGGTGTAAACAAGACATCAGAAAGCGTTCATTTTATCACAACTTTGGATAACGAAGCCGATAGAAAAAGCCCTTAAAAAGTTGGTGTATGTAAGATTTATTAGGTATTATCGATTTCTTTTGCAGAGATGTAGGTTTGGGGTTTTCATTCCCAATGATCAGGTAGAAAGTGTAAGCAAATTTCGAGATGGATAATACTGGAATAACACTGGGATGAATAGTACTTGATAGGATTACCTAATTCAGACAGCGAATGCAGAGAATGCAAGTAAAATTTTAAGGGAACAGTTATATTCCTCGACATCATTTATTTCGAA